AGCCAGCAAGCACAGCTTGTGTGGACTGGGACGTGCTTACCGCTTCCTGCTTTACTGCTGTTGTGAGCACGGATGGAGCGCCGAACGGCTTCTCACGCTGCCTGAGTATCGTATCTTCAGCTTGCACACGGATTGGGATGTGGCTGCCTTTGCTCTGCGGTGGGGAACAAAAAACAGGCAGGAGAAAACCCACCACATGACAATAATACTGGATATGTATCTTGGCAAACAAGACCTGTATAGAACCCCTTAATAAGGACTCCTATGAATTCCTTACCATCTCTTTCATGGGCTGGGGTTCTGTGATCCTATTTTCCTTTCTGGAAGCACAAAAACTTTTGTGAGCAACTTACACACTGAAGGGAAAATGTTGCATTGGTGGAGTCCAAATGAAGAAAAAGTGAATTACGCATTTGGTCCTGTGGAGTGGGCATCTCTCCATATTGATATATTAGTGTTCACTGTAAGTAAAAAAAAAAAAAAAAAAGTATCAATTTTCCTACAGTTTTGAGATTTTGCAATCTTTATTACTGAACAATGGTAAAATGATCTGTGTTTGACGTAAATAACTATTACAGCCATTTCCGTTAACCGGCATTAAAGCTGTATAATGGCTTAATTTACCTCTCATTGAGCCAGGCCTGGAAGGAATGGTGTCACGGGTCTTGCTGAAAACAGCTGGTTTGTGAGTCTCTTTTAAGAAAGGTTTTCTGACGACCAAACAAAATTATGAAAACTTAACTAGAGACAGCAAATTAATTCATTTCTCAGTAAAGGGCACTAACTGTCTGTTCTATGGTGTATTGCACAAGGCTGCCCCAACATTAAAACTTAAATGGGCATGCACATCCAGCAGACTTGGGTACTGTAGGAATTATGCAGAAAAACACTGCATTAGCCTATACTCACACTGGTGGTCTCATTCGTGCAAAGGGCAGGGGTTTATTCCATGCATTTTCCTCTGAAGCCATCTCCACAAGAAGTCTGTAGTGCTCTTTGTCACTTGCTTTCCAAGACTGAAAAGAAAAACAAAGACAGATTACAGGGAAGGATATATTTGAACAAATACTTCCATTAATGGTTTTCCCAGTGTGACTTTATCACTGAGAAAAACTGAAAACACGATTTTAAAAAAGCCTCTTAAGATCATTATAAAAAAAGCACAAAAGTTGCCACTTCAGACACAATAAGACACCCAACCCCACCTCCTCTACAGTAAGACAATGCCTGTGGTTATGACTTTGTGGGACAGTGGCAGGAACATTCAAGTTTGATGATGTCATGCTGCTGTGGACCGGCCGGGGGGGCAGGAGCTGAAGAGACCGCTGGCGGTCTTTGTCTTTGATCCTCTCTGAATGTAACCCAGTCCCACTGCAGAAAGAGATGTTATTATCTTAAGCTAGAAAAAAATTGTATAAAAGTGTATAAGCTTGTACTAAAGTATTAGTAGTACCAAAATGGTTCAGCACACTCGTAAAATCTTACTTGTGTTTCCTGACCAAAGGTGGAGGGAGGCCACTGTATCCCACTTCACTGGGTTTCTCTGGGTAAAAATACAGCATTTTAAGAGACAATTTAAAACCATAATATTTATTTATGCTAGAATAACATAAGCAATGGCTGATCAAATCAAACACGAGGCACTGATGTATTCTTTACCCATATCAATCTCCATATAGCTTATCCATGTGCCCAAACTGTGGCTTTGGATTTCATCGACTCCCAAAGGCTCATCAGGAGGAACCTGCGAAATATGAAATCTCGCATTTCACATGGTTTTCGCCAAAAGACTTTCCCTAAATAATATGTTGACACAAAGATTTTCTGGTAACAAAATAAGAAAACCAGCAAAAAGAGGTCTGTTAGAAAGTGCATCTATTCCCTAGTCTTAGGATGACAATCACACTTTTCTAATCTTACAGACAACCTTAATGCCCACAAACCTGCTTTGGAATTCTTATTCAAAAAAGCATAATCCACAACAAAATAACCTCGGATATACTGACTTATCCGTGAACACATGCAGAACAAAAATTAGAAAGTCAGCCAACCAAACATGCCTGGTCTCCAGCATAGGCAGTAGTGTTCTCACGGGGAATCATAAATGGGTTTTGCAACCGCATTAGTCCAGCAACTCCTGAGATGGTCTTCTTCACAATGCTGACCACTACATCTGAAGCAAGACAGAAAGGACAGTTTAATGCAATCCACAGTTCCATCTCTCTTTCACAGAATAAAAAACCTCCGATGGGATTTCCCTCGCACCAGACTGAAATCCTTTTACCAACCAAATGATCAATAAGTAATTTAAAAACTCGGCATGCAACGTAGTTCCAACATGAATTAAACTAACAGATATACCAACATTCCACAGGAGTGCCTACAAGCCACACCGTAGAAGCAGAAAGTATTTCCCCTACCCAACGTGCTGTAAAAAGTGACAGAACTATAGCTGAACACTGAATTAGCCAAGTTATTAAACAGAGACAAGCCTTCTGAATACCTCGTCTCGCCCTTTTTATCTCGCCGTACTCGGTTCTGGCATCAGCTGAGTGCACACTGCAAATAAAAAAAGAGATGGCAAATGAATAAAAAATTAACGTAGCCTTAACAGGTTGCATTTACGTTGCCTGGACAGTAAGCAAAAGAAAGAGCCTAAACGTAAACGCGCAATAAATACTTCCATCAATCCCCCATTAAAGTATATATATTTCGTAACTTTTCATAGACGGGTGAATATTTGAAGCAGCCAGCGAACTTCAGAAACAAACGTCACAACTATCAACAACGTTAGCTAACTACACAGCAGCGTTTCGGCGAAGGCGGCGGCACACCGACCTCTGGTAGTTCCGCTTAGCCGGTCTTATGTGCTTCCCCGGGCGTCGGGAGTCAGGAGTGTCCGCCGCCGACAGCTGCGAGCTGCCGTTCCTAGGCCAGCCGGCGGACTTCTGCCCAGTACGCGGCACAAACAGCGACGATATGCCGTCAACTATCCATTCGTACATCCCAGACAGCCAGGAGAAAAGAGGTGCCGGTTGGTATGTCAGGGCCAGCTCTGTGTGACGTTCCGACAGAGAAGCTTCGCGACGGACGTACAGAAAAAGCAACGGACGACAACACCAGAGCTCGAGGGCGTACGTCACGTATGCAAATGAGCCGTGCGGCCTCCGTACAGCCGCCGTAGGTGGCGGGCCGCGCATGTCTGTTGTTGCACAACAACAATAACCCGAACGGAACGTCATGGGAACGTGTTAAAAGAACCCTTATAAAACCAAACTTGAAATGCGTTCACAGAACACGACAGTTAAACAGTTAGGTTAAGTTACACACATTAATGAAACCAAGCACGAGAAACTGTCAGGGAACCTTCCAAGAAATTTAAGCGCACTTTAAAAGTACTTTTGCATATTTTTAAAATGGTACATTATGTTTGAAAATGTTTAGTGTGCTTAAGCATACTTGAACTAATTAGTATACTTGTTTGCAAGTACAGTGTGGTATGTTTTGTATACAGTGGACCCTCGAGTTACAATCGGCCTGACATACAAACAACTTGGGTTACGACCAAAAGTTTAGTTTCAACCAAAGTCTTGAGTTACGACCCGAATGCCGGTCAAGGCCAAAAGGTGTATCCGCTTGTGCAGTTATAAACAAAGAGCCAAGATGCCCGAGAGGCGTCTATAAGCAACCGACTTGAGTTACAACCAGCCCTCATGAATGAATTGAGTTCATAAGTCAAGGGTCCACTGTACTTAAAAAAAAAACACATTAAATGTAAATATGGTTTAGTGTACTTAATCATACTCAAACTGAACTATAATTGTTTGCAAGTACAACTTGGTGTATTTTTTTCAAAAGTACATTTTAAACAAACTTTATTTTGAATGTACACTATATTGCCAAAAGTACTGGGACACCCCTCCAAATCATTGGATTCAGGTGTTCCAATCACTTCCATAGGCACATGTGTGTAAAATCGTGCACCTAGGCATGCAGACTGCTTCTACAAAAAAGAATGGGTCACTTTCAGGAACTCAGTGAATTCAAACATGGTACCATGATATGATGCCACCTGTGCAATAAGTCCATTTGTGAAATTTCCTCGTTACTAAATATTCCACAGTCATCTGTTAGTGGTATTATAACAAATTGGGAACAACAGTGACTCAGCCACGAAGTGGTAGGCCACGTAAAATCACAGAGCAGGGACAACGCAGGCTGAGTCGCACAGTGTGAAGAAGTCGCCAAGTGTCTGCAGAGTCAATATTTACAGACTTCCAGACTTCATGTGACCTTCAGATTAGCTCAAGAACTGTGCATAGAAAACTTCATGGAATGGGTTTCCATGGCCAAGCAGTTGCATCCAAGCCTTACATCACCAAGTGCAATGCAAAGCGTCAGATGCAGTGGTGTAAAGCACAGTGCCACTGGACTCTAGAGCAGTGGAGATGTGTTCTCTGAAGTGACGAATCACGCTTCTCTGTCTGGCAGTCCGATGGACGAGTCTGGGTTTGCCGGTTGCCAGGCGAATGGTACCTGTCTGACTGCATTGTGCCAAGTGTAAAGTTTGGTGGAGGGGAATTATGGTGTGGGGTCGTTTTTCAGGGGTTGGGCTTGGCCCCATAGTACCAGTGAAAGGAACTCTTAATGCTGCAGCACTCAAAGCCATTTTGGACAGTTTCATTCTCCCAACTTTGTGGGAACAGTTGGGGATGGTCCCTTCCTGTTCTAACATGACTGCGCACCAGTGTACAAAGCAAGGTCCATAAGGACATGGATGAGCGAGTCTGGTGTGGAGGAACTTGACTGGTCTGCACAGAGCCCTGACCTCAACCTAATCAAACACCTTTGGGATGAATTAGAGCAGAGACTGCGAGCCAGGCCTTCCTGTCCAATATCAGTGCCTGACCTCACAAATGCTCTCCTGGAAGAATGGTCAAAAATTCCCATAAACACACTCCTAAACCTTGTGGACAACCTTCCCAGAAGAGTTGAAGCTGCTATAGCTGCAATGGGTGGATCAATTCCATATTAAAGTCTATGTATAAAGAATGGGATGTCATTAAAGTTTATGTGTGTGTAACGACAGGTGTCCCGATACTTTTGGCAATATAGTGTATTAAATGTTTACGGCACGAAGAACATGGGTCTGTTACTCCAGCAGTATTTTGGTTTAAACATAACATTTTATGGGTTTTTTATTGTTGATGATGATGTAAATGATTGGCCTAATGGAGTTAAGTTTGGAGTATGTAGAAACAATATTCTTACATAGTGGTGTTTTAGTTGTCTTACAAACAATTTCACATCTGCGCACTGCTCCCAGCAACAGTGAAATGTAAATATGTTGGGGGGGAAGGGGGGTATGGTGACCAAGAAAGCCAAATGCATTTTCAAATAAAGAAATGCACATCTAATTAAAAAACTTACTGCAAAACAGCAAAGGATATTATTCAGGATCATAAAGCATGTGCATAAAATATAACTTATCGTAGTTTTGCTACTGCATCTTGGTGGCTCGTTTTTTGGCAGTTTATCATAAGCTTTGATAAATCTATATTTGTCATTGAGAGAAAATGACTTTCCTTTTCCCGCCATGTTTTCTGTGAACGCAGCATTAGCCTCTGGTAGCAGATGGGCTACAGCAGATGGGCTACAGCAAGGCAAAGTATGGCGATCAAAGTAAAGTAAAAAAAATACTGTAGTTTTAATTTTTCCCATATGTTGTCATGTTTAAAAAGACCCAAAATGAATACTATAAGCGGGCTACTTGATTACTTTAAGCGAATTATTGAAAAAGCATTTGTACAGGAATGATTCTGTCCCAAGCTTTTTGATCCATATTAGCGGTTGATCATATAACCGGTTTCCACTGTAACTTTACTTTTCACCTGTAAGTTATCGCCATTGGCTCCATTGAAAAGTACGCCTGAAAAAGTGTCCTCCGGAAACACTTCCTTTGTGTTGTGGTATTTGTAGTGTGTTTGCAGGTTCGTTATGAACTTGAATAATATGCTTTGTTGCTTCGCAGCGCATTTTCCTGTTAGACGTGCCTTTCTTAATTTTTAATTGCATTGGGCTTTCTTGCCCCCGCAGTGGGGTGGGGGCACGACATGGACTCGACAAAAAAAAATTGTCTCTTTAATTGACATGCTCTTTAAAGAAAATGAGGCCAGGACAAATGACTCTGTCAGGATCAGCACCCGTCCAACCCTGACCTTCACGTCTCCTCCCTGTTTGGCCAGCAGGTGTCGCTGGTCATCCTGTTCTCCACCCTGTCTCTTGCCCTCCAGCCCCAGTGTGCTCTCCTGATTCCCTGGCCCACTGCAATGGGTCAATGGGTTGAGGGTGTGGATTTGGGACTGCAATCCCCCAGTCGTGGGTTTAATGTTGGCTAATGATCAGCCTTATCTCTTTCTTTGTATTTGAGTTTCTGTTCCCCTGTGTTTTGTTTCCCTTGGAGTTTCCTGTTCTAGGTTTGCCCTCCTTGTGTTCTGTTCCGGTTTTATGTTGTACTTTGTTTTCTTGTCTATTTTCCTAGTGTAGTATTTCCCTTTGTTTCCTTAGTTTCAGGTCTCTAGTTCCTTAGTTCTGTGTTCATTAGTGTTAGTCTTGAGCCGCTAGGTGGATCGTCACCTTTTCCCGTGTCTGTGGTAAGACAACTTTCATGCAGAGAGTAAATTAAAAGCAGTATGTTTGTGATAAAATGGGAGGGGGGAGGCAATATGAATAATTTAGTGCCGCTAAACCTGCTCCACACATGAGAAATGAAATTATATTGTGGGCTAAGTCTGAATCTGATTAAAATCTCACCCTGTTATTATCTTAGTGGTTATTTCGCAGATAAACCTAGTAACTCCGCCCCCTAAGAGAAGACGGATAAAGAACGACGGCTGTATGAATGGAATGGAGCCCCAGGATGCAGCTCCCTGCAAGCCTTTATTCCCATCACTAACATAAATAACTTTCAATGATTATGAATAAAGTCAAACAGTAAAAATACTGAGTGCGAAAGCCCCAGAAAATACCGCGGTATAACATCTGGATGGTAAGACAGTATTCAAAGTCGGATACTGCCCAAGTGGATGGTGCTGCAGCGGAAAAACTCCTTCGTGGTCAATTTTACTGCAGCCGAATAGCGGAACAACAGATTTCCGGGACATTATGCATCATTTGCGGGTGTCAGGGGGCTGCTGTCAATTTGTGGGAGACTCAGGAAACTTCCAGAAGTGGTGGGACGTCTGCATCCACAGTCACAGATCCAGACACATGTGAGTGACATTTGCTGAGTGGTCGGTGTCTATTTTCTGTCGTCTTCGTCTCACTTTTCATATCAAAGGCCCAGAGGGAATGTGTGATGTTAACTGTGCACACCTGTGCTTAAAAAGAAACGCACAAAAGGAGAAACATGTAACATTCTGCAGTTTGTGAAGTGTGTGTGTTTTAGCAGTCAGATAATGCACAGTTACTGTTCTTCTTGTTAGCAACTAAAAGAGATGTTGGCTTATATATCGATATAGTGTTAAGGTACAAAGACAGTAGTCTGAATGGAAAAACCAACTCCAATCGCCAACTCACCAACACATAACAAATAACCAGACACTACTCTTTGGGTTATAGTTAACAAAATTTTTCCAAGCAGTACTATGGGGACTTACGTATTTAGAGGTGACAGCATGATGGGGCCAGTCATGTGATGCAATGTTGGATGAAAGGTCCCTCCCTGTCCTGCCGGTGACATCACTGGAGAGGCCAGGGGACAGCCAATGGGAGGTAACGGTACTGCAGGAATGCTGTAGTGATGGTGGTGATGAACTGAATATCCTCTGGGCTTCTCTGTCTTTACAATGACAGAGGACCTCAAGCTATTATATAAATTTGTGTAGTGGGGCATTTGGCACGATGTTACCATTTCTTACTTACCAAGGGCAGTCATTGTGTAATTCAGTGGTTTATAATCTAACAAAGACAGCTTGCCTCTCCCAAGAAATGCAGAACTTTGTCAGAAATGGGTACTGACTCCCTGAATGTTTAGAAATCATCTAGTGAAACAGCAGGCACTCAGACACTACCAGCCACGCTGAAGAAGCTGAAAATTTCATGAACATGTTGCAAGTGCTTTTAAGTAAACTCAGTCTGAAGCTCAGTTCTCAGCCAGCAAATACCTAGATACCATATAACTCAATGCATGATTTCAGAATGCAGTTGAGGAGGTTGATGATTATTATTGAATATCATCAAGTCGGTGTTGACTACTAGTGACCATATACTCAGAATATATCCGGAATGTTCTGTCTTCTCCGAAGTCCACCAGGCTTCCAAATGGCATTTTCATTTCGTGATGTGATGAATGTTACCATTACTAAAATGCACGTCACTGTCTTTTAAAAGAAAATATTCTTTTTGCATATTAAACATTTCTTTATTGGGAAAAGAGTCATATCACCGTGCTTTTTAAATAGACACCAGTTCCGAGTTTACCCAAAAAAAAACAGGATTTACTGACCTGGCCCGGATGAGTGAGGTGTTGGCGAGCTGGCGCTTGACCAGCGCCCCCAGGAGGTGGGAGTGCTCCAAGAGGGATGGCCTTCAGCATCATGTTGTGCATAATGATCTGGTGCATCTGTGCATTCTGCATGAGCATCAGCTCCATCATGTCTGAAAGAGACGGCGCACTTTCAAATCACTCGTACACCCAAAACCCCATCCATCACCTCTGACAGGTATGTGGAAAAAAAACACATAAAGTTTGAATTCAGCATATTAAAAACATAATATAGGTATTTATAATATAAGTATTATACAGTTTGGAGCATCGATGCAAAAATATAGGGGAAAAAGAGGGGGAAAGGGGTAGGTCCAGAATGAACGGAAGGCAGTGTAGAAATTTGAGTATATCTGCTATAGAAGTGCTATAGAAGTTGCTACTCTGGATATAGAGCCAGAATTACCTTCTTTGATGCTTCCTGACTTGCTGGATGAAAATGGCAGCGGGGGTGGCACTTGTGCGATGATAGGCTGCTGTTGTGGGAGCTGCTGAATTATGGTTGTCGGCTGCTGTGGAATCTGTAAGAGGGACCAGGGAGCCTAAAAGGTTATTTACAGATATTACTGGTGTCTTCAGAATGCTGTAATTAATGCCACAGTATGATGGAGAAGCAGCAGGTGGTTAAACAGACCATTCAAGGTGGGCAGAACCCATTAATTATGGGTTACTCAGAATCTATGGAGGTGATGAATGATTTGGATGACATTTTTCTGAATGAATAATGTTTAATGTGTGTGCTTTGCTACTTTCAAGCATCTATAGCTTTCAGAAGAATCAATAGTTCACTCTGATTTGTGTTGATTTCCATAAATAAAGCCAAACAAGGTCACACTTCCCTAATAAGCATGCCAATCGCTCTCTACCTGCTGAAGGACCCGGGGCAGCTGAGCAGTATGGGATGGTTGCGTGACTGCGGCTGGCGGGGGGAGACACACGTGGCTGTGTGGCGGCAGGGGGGGCAGGGCATTCTGCCTGGACCACCCACGTGTCCCGCCCCAGGTGTGGGGGCGCCGCAGGTCTTCTGATATGTGCTCCTCCTGCCGGACACGTGCACAGGCGCACAAGAAGAGTCACACGCAAAGAAAAACCCACAAGCACATGTCGAGGTTTCAACAGCCAGTCGGGGTTAATTCATGAGATACTGCGACACACAAAAAGTAAACGTGATGCTTGAAATAGTTCAGAAGGCAAACAGGACTTGTTTCTAATCAGTGTCTTTTGTTCGATTGTTTGATTGCTTAACGTATTTTGTATACATGTATTCTCTTTGTCAAGCTAAAGTTTAATTCGTGTAAAAAAAAATAAAGAAGAATGCAATAACGTTGTTGTGGCATGTTGCTTAGCAATGTCTGTCAGGAAAGCCTTTTCTTCTGCGGGCATGTGACTCAGGTGCCATAAAGACATTGAGTGTAAAATAACAAAAGCTCTTCCGTCTGGAGTGACTTCATCTTGCGGTGTCTATTAGAGTACCCTCATCCTCTGCAGTAAGTTCCTCTTTCTCTTTAATGCCCTGTGCAGTGCGAGTTCCTGATCCTCACAGCTCCCTGTGCCAAAACGAGAAAGTGCTCGCATTTAGATAGGCTTCGAAGTATTCTGATATCATCTGTATTCATCTCTGCATTCAACCATGTTTAGAAAAACACCCTGTCATTCATCAAGAGCTATTCCAATTCAGGAGGGATATGAAAGGTGACTCAGCATTGGCTCACAGATCAATGAGGTCAGTTCTGTCCAGCTAAAGTTACAACCAGAGGTTCACTTTCAATAATGGGTTGGAATATTTCCACATTGACTGGACATTGAATGTATACGTATGTCTAGAAAAGCTGTTTACAAAGGTTCAACTCACTGCACTTAATTTGCACAAAACATACCGTGGCTGTAAAAGGACAATGTAGTATATGAAAAATGTATTTATGAGACCAAACATGAATAAATATACTTCCAAATAATGTCGACTTAGAGGTTTGAAACTCTGCAATCTCTTACGTGTGGAGAGGGGTGACTCTGCTCTTCTATCAATATGGTTCCTTTCATTTTGCAGCTTCTGTGAAAGACAACGGACTAGGGGCTGAAAATGTCAAAGCATTACAAAGAATTACGAGGAATCTGTTTTTAAAAAGAGGCTCAGTAACCGTAGCAACCCAGGCAAAATTGATAATTTTATATTTCTCTGTAGCCCAGAACCACATCAATATTGGGACACTTATCTACGTTTTTTTTACTAGAAAGTGGACAATTTTCTTAAAATCAATTTAATCTATTTTATTTTGCTTTTCTTATTTTTACAGATATGACTTAACATCCTGACCACTATGCATCTTGTCCTCTGTCTCAGAGACACACTCACTCTCTCCATGAGTCTCAGTCTTAGCTTGGTCATCTGATCCAGCATGGGGTCGTCCATGGCGCTGGTAAAGATGGAATCAGGCTGCAGTCCCAGTGTGGTTTGAAACCAAGTGGACTTTGGTCCAAATCCTTCTGGAGCGTTGGGTCACCTGTGACACATCTGCTGGCTTTTTCCTTTACCTGTAACGTGTGTGAGAGTGGAGCACAGGGGCTGGGACCATAGTCCAGAGCCACCCGTTGCTCTCTGTCTGATTTGGTGTCACTCTGCTTGTGTTTCAATCATTGTTTCCAGGCCAAGCCTAGTCATGCCACGCCCACTCGTTACTATAGCCACGAGGCCCACAAACAACCAATCTCTGAGCAAGACAAAGTTACCAGTGAATACCTGTTGTACTTAGGCAAGCTCAAAGTAAGATTTATTCCTTCTTTACATAATTGCGCTTGAGTTTTTTAGGCTCCACAAACATAGATACATATCGTGGCCTACAGAGGGCGCTAAAGCCGAGTTTAATGGACAGCAGCTGCTTAGGGAATTTTAGCTGTTCAGGTGCCATACAGAACTACTGCCCCTTATTGGATGCAAGGTTATAGGGAATGCATGGCCGGATGGTTTTATACAATAATAGTAAATTTACATACATTTCTATATAGTCCATAATCCAGTATTTCAAAATGTCCATTGGTATGGTCAATATTTTGCCGCATTTTAACACATATTGCACAGCTTTGCAACCTTGTTCAGTTGTACAGCATCAAGCTCCCTCTTATAAACCTTCATGTCCATGTCTTTAACCACCACACTCTCTAAAGGTGACATAATCATTGTTTAAGATAGCCTACCCTTATTAAATCTCAAACTTTTTATATAGAATATCAGGCACAATGCATCACCATAAAATAGGTGAATATGTGTAGAAACCATGTTATTAACATCACTGCTATTGTAATTAATTGTATTGTATTTATTTGGAGAAAATCTGCATTTTACTTTGTACAGATTTTTTTTTAACCGTGATTCTGTATACAGAGATCGAGACAGAGCAGTAACAAAGCCTATTAACCTTAGGTGGTTTCATTGATTTTTATGAACAATATTTGTTACCATCTCCATTTAACGCCCCTAAAATCTGCATCAAGTGAAAACACAAACACAGTTGCATTGTGCACATGCAAGGGAAATTATTAGGTAAGTTATTTCTGGTCATTGCTCGCTAGAGGTTCCCTTCATTTTTTCCCATTTAACTTGTATGAAAGAGGAGAAAATAACAACCGCCTTGATGAATAGTCACTATGACAACGTCTCTCTGAGAGTGGAGGGTCTCTGGTCCAGCCCAAGATATGTAGCAGTTGAAGCTTGGCTGCATGTTGGTTTCACTTGACTGGCGAACGCAAACCCTGAACCTTTCTCCTCGGGCTGCAAGTGCTCGACTCCTGGCTGTCTTTTTGTAACATGGGTGGGGAGTATTAGTATGCACTCGCCTGTCTGTCTGTGGGAATGGGAATCCCAGAGAGGGCCAAAGATTCACCCACGGAGGCGGCTTTCAAGAGAGATGCGTATAACGGGCTGTGCTGCAAACCTACTAATCTGCTTCTGAGAAGTGATACCTAGGAAGCGGAATTAAACATGGCCGCCAACCGTACCGTAAGTCCTGGACTACAAGACACCAGAAAAGTGCCTGGTGACCTCAGCTCTCATGCCCTTGGACCCTGGGAAGAAGCCCTCAAAAGATGTGCACCCGAAAGCCGCTGAGGATGGTGGGAAATTGTAGCAGCAACAACAAGTGATGACTGGCTAGGAGAAGGAGAAGTTTTGGATATAGTCCTTGTGGAGAATCTTTTGAGAATATTAGGGATGATAACTTTATTGTGTTTAGAGAAAAGTCTGCGCTAGAGTTTATGCTGGGCTGGGATTCCTTCTGCGTCATAAAAACCTTAATTATCAGCTGTGGATTTTGTTGGGATGCATTGTGGTTCCACACTCTTCTCCTTATAGATTGTACACATGGTACCTGTAAATTTTTAACGTCTTGGGAGTATTGTTTTCCTGATACTCTTTCAGGTATCCTATGAGCCTTTGTCCCCTCCCTCCTTCACGCACCCTGGGTGACATGCTGCTTCTCTGGGCTTGCTATTTGTTCCTGTTGTACCTTTCCCTCTACCTCTCCTTCAGCTTTCTGTTCTGCTTGCTGACGTTAGACAGCGAAAGGCAGAAAGTGACAGCGAGAATCCGCCGGAAAAGACGGCGCAGGGGAAGAACACGGCTCTCCATGCGAATGACCTTCCAGCACAAGAGCGCCAGCTAGAGGTCTAGGTGTATCTAGAATATGTAGCTTCTTTTTTTTTAAGAGCAGAGCATTCACAAAGGTACTTTTTAGTATTTTTTTTAGCATTTTTTTAGTAATGTATCATTCATTTTATTTTTATGCAATGACTGTTTTCAGTCCATTGAAGGGAATTCTGTTTTCTGTCTGTTTTTCTGACATTTTACATATACAGCACAAACAGCCAAGTCTTTATTATTGGTCTGGTTAGCATACTATTGATTAAGTTCAGGTTTCTTCAGATTGCTCCCTGTGTGGCTGAATGTTCTATTATCCAAATATTGATTTTAAAATCATGCTGTCAAATCACTCCAGCAAAGGAGAAATTGCAATTTGAAATACAATCATGTATGACATCTTCTCTAACGGTTACTGTTTTTAACCTGGTCTGCTTGTATTTTATGGTGAACCGAAAGCTGGATCAGTGACTCAGTCCTCTAGAACACTGTGTGTACGGTGAATTATAGAGAATGATAGTTTAGCTGTTTGGCAAAATTCAAACCTTTTGAACTATTATTTCCATCCGTAGGAGCAGATGAATGTGACTGTGACCCTTTTATTTTAATTGGGTAATGTCACTAATTTCAAGGCACTTAAAAATCCAGACGCTTGAGTCTAAGTGCTTGTATTAAAAGGCAACAACTTTACATTATTCTTACCATGAAAGCAGTGTGAGATTGCTGGCTTCTGTAGATCTGGAGTCCAGTGATCCTTTCAGAGGATCTCTGAAGAATATCGGCCTGGTAAACATCCCTGAGTGTGATCAGTAGTGGAGTGTGTCAGATGCTGTGGAGCGTGTTTAAAAGGCTGAAGCTATCAGTCTCAGTTAAATTCAGTCTAGATAAATCATGTTTTGTTTTAGATAGTACCAGCTCATACTTTAGTGTGTGGACACTGTTCTGTGGTCCAACATGCAAGCTGAACGTTAGGAGCACCGGCTGCTTCTGCTCAGGATGCCTTCAAACTTAGCAAACTGTCGCCGCCATGGCGATATGCCCAGAAGCTGATCTTTTTATATTACCTAAAAGATACAGGTTTACAGGCATAAATGTTAACCATAGTTACAATAAAGAAGAAAAGCAAATCACTATACACACAAGTACGTAGTGTCACCAGAAAAAGGGAAGAAAATAAAGGTTGCTGTTTTTACTCAAGATCAATCCAGATACTCTTCCTGAAAAGAAGAGATGGTCTTCACAGCATTATTGTTGGATTTCAGCCTTAATAATGAATCATATACAAATTTTAAATCAATGTAGAGCAGCCTAAAATTGGGCCTGGTTGACATGATCTTTGATTTATGCATATGGAATTTTGCTAAAAGAGTTTGTACCTTAAGGACATTTAGTGAAGAAGAACCAGTATTCCAAGCCAGGACTAATATTGTTACATCAGTAAAACTCACAAATTTATGATATGTCATAAGTATTAGCAGAGCTTTCCATACATAATTCCCTTGAATATATACAGATGCAAAATGAATGAGTAATTGTTTCTGGTTCCAGATTACAAAAAGAACACTTCACAGAAATATCACATTTAAATTTATTAAGCATGGTGTTGCAAGGGTAGTATTCATGTACGATTTTAAGATGGATTTCTGTTATAATCCAATTCCAGTGTCTGAAACTGCTTTTCCTGTTCAGGGTTGGGGGGGTCCAGAGCCTATCCCAGAGCCTATGGGTGAAAGGTGGGGAACAACCCAGGATGGGGCGCTAACCCATCTCACGGCACACTCACACACCATTCACTCACACCTATGGGCAATTTGGTAACTCCAATAAAGTTCAGCATGTTTTTGGACATGGGGGGGAACCAGAATACCCCGAGGAAACCCCATGACGGCACTATTAAGTCCAGAATAAACATTATGCTTAGATGCCAATTTCCAGGCTTCCATTGCAAGCTCGACAGGTAGTTTGCTGAATTTAAAATCACAAGAATGTACAAATTTTAACCCTCCATATATTTCAAATATAAGATGTGGGATATAAAACCATATAATATTTTCTCCAGGTAAACAATGCTTTATCCAGTTGGACCTTTGATTATATCATGTCCTGCCTAATCCCTGGCCTGGCTTTAACTAGCCATGCCTGGTGCTCGTTTAGTCTTGTGTATGGTTCCTGCCAGGTGCCTCCTCTTTGTTCCCTCATTAGTCCTGTATTTAAGTCCAGTCTTCCGCAGGTCTGTCATTGATGTTCCCCTGCTTCCCCCCCCTCCCCCCCAACGCAGTCCTGTTTATTTTCTGTTATTGTTACTTTTGTTAGAATAAATCCCTTTTATTTTCAATCTCGTTTGCTCATGCCTCCTCTGTTCCCTTCAATATGACAGATTAAAGTCTAATGCATTGAAGTGTCCCTCTGATTTACCTCTATGATCTTTCTCTTGACATATTCTGCTTTGTTTTTCCTTATAAATTTGAATAAAAGAGAGTCAATTGTTGGACATGTCTTGGAATCAACATAGAGAAACAATGCTGGATACACCAGTATGGATATACCAGTATGGATACGCCCTCAGTCTTGGAAAGCCGAATGCAGCCTTCTATTGTTAGGGCTCTTTGAAGTCAACAATGAAATATATTCCTAAATGGTTTTTTTTTTTTGTGAAAAGTTTTCCACTTCCCATGACCCTGAAAAGGATAAGCAGTTTCAGAAATTGGATGGATGGATGGATGGAAGTTTTCCACTGTTCTATCAGAGCATGTCTTACTTGTCAAAGTGCCGAGGTATCG